TCAAACTATCATAAGATTTTCTAGGTTGGCTCTGATACCATGTAGTCGTATGAGACTGCTAACAGCCCAACCTATGGTGTATAATCAACAGGAAATTAAGAAGATGAGAGGAGAAAGAGAGAAGAAGAGAAGAAGAATTTGAAGGAAGGGTTTTAGAAAAGAAGAGGATGCTTAATCTGCCGCCCCCTCTTTCTATTTATATTAATTATGAAGTAAGAATAAGACTGCTTACATGGCAAAAATAAAATCCTAACAAAAGACTAATAACTAATTGTGGACTAACTTTAATAACTAATAGTTGTATACGAGTACAATAGAAAGAGGTGGGGACCACATCAGTGGTTTCTACATGGTCCATTGATAGAAGATAATAATGTAGGTGTTAATGGACGAGGTTTGGGTTGGAACCAATCTAAATTAAAACAAACTCGAACAGATTGGGCAATCCAAACATTGAATTAGGCCACTCCAAAATGGTCCAAAGTATTCATGGGATTGGATTGGACCAGGTCCATTTGTAATGGACTCATATTGGACCAGATCAAATTAGACCAAATCTTTTCCAATTGCCCCCTAAATAAATCAATTATCATTGATTGAAATGCTTATTAATTTAGTATCAATTAAGTGTTCTATTGTTGTATTAGAAATCTTACTTAGGGGGTGTTCTTTTTTTTTGGATTTGGAGAGGGGGGAAAGTTGGTCAATGGGATTTTGGTACCCATTGACCAAGAATCCTATGTTTTTTTTCAACTTTATGTGGGGACCAGAGAAACCTTATTTTCCTAGGTATCACTTACACAGGAAAGTGATACCCATCTCCTATGTGGGTAAATAACTTTCCCACATAGGGGGAAAGTTTCCAACACTTGAATGGGGCAAAAATGCCATTTTTAATAATGGATTTCTATGGCTAAAATGGTCATTGCCTTATTTACTTGTGAAATAAAAGAACATGGGTAAATGCACTTACTTGGGTAAGTGTTTCCCAAGAAAAACTTACCCAGATAATTGCATTTACCCGAATAAGTAACTTATCGAAAAGTGAACGGGGCCTTAATACAAAAAGCTAAATATAAATATTAATATCAGATTAGATGTCTAATATATAATTAATATTTAATATAAATAAATCAATTAGTATGGTTGAGTCCTTTCTATCCTTATGTATTATTATATTAATCTTAGTTATATATATATATATATATATATATATATATATATAGGATAGGGGTGCTCTCTCCGTGCAAGAAATGGAATCTACTCGTGCGAGTAGATTCCCATGTGAGAGCAACCTAGATCCTTTAATTACTGCCATATAAATAACAGTAATTACTGATTATTACAGTAATTTAATAAATATATAATTAATGATTATAATTAAAAATTACTGTTATTATAAATACTGTTAATAACTAGATGTTTACTTTAAAATTATAAATACTGTTATTAAAAAAATACTGTTAATAAATTATTGATTATTACAGTAATTCAATAAATATATAATTAGTGATTATAATTAAGAATTACTATTATTATAAATATTATTAATAAATAGATATTTACTTTAATTTTACTTTAAATTAAAATTATAAATACTGTTAATAAATTTAGTAAGTATTGTTATCTTAAAAATAATTAAAAACGTTATTAAAAGTATTGCTATTGATTATTTAATAAAATATTATAATTATTGACTATTACTGATAAATATTGTTAATTTAATTGAATTTTGGTAATTATTAATTTAATGAATATTGTTAATAAATCCTAATCATAAATTTAATATTTACCGTTATATTAAAAATAACTAAATAATATTATTAAAACTATCATTAATGATTATTTAATTAAATAGTATAATTGCTTACTGTTATTGATAAATGTTGTTAATAGCATTCTAACAACTGACTGTTTGATCGTCTGGTTCGAACGGATGGCCCGTTCTAACAACAAAAATTACAAGCAAAAAATTACGGAACCGTTTTGGCCACTGGTTTTCGGGTCAACGATTCGACCATCCAGTTCGAACGAACAATCCGTTCTGACAACAAAAATTATAGGCAAAAAATTGAGTTTATGATGTCCATTAAGTAGTATCATACGTGTTGTGTCATTCGAGCATGTGACTCATATGACCCAAAAACGAAACCGTTCTGGCCATTGGTTTTTGAGTTGACAATTTGAACATTCGATTTGAACAGACGTCCTGTTCTGACAACAAAAAATTACAAGCAAAAAATTACAGATCCGTTATGGCCACCAATTTTCGGGTCGACGATTCGATCGTCCGGTTTGTATGGACGACCCATTCTAACAACAAAAATTACAGGCGAAAAATTGAGTGTGTGAGGTCGCTTAAGCAGACTCATATGTGTTATGTCATTCGAACGTGTGACTCATACGACCCGAAAATGGCACTGTTTTGGCCATCGGTTTTCAGGTTGACGGTTGGACCGTCTGGTTCGAACGAATGGCTTGTTCTGACAACAAAAATTAAAAAAATAAAAAACGGTCAAAAACCATTGAATGGGTTAACTGGTTAACAATTCCACCACTCGGGTTAATGAGTCATTAACTGATTCAACTGTTTTTGGCTAGGGACCAAGATTGGTTGCCTGGATGGTTCCCAATTAAAATAATAAAAAAAATGGATGACTTGTTCTAACACAAAAAATTGAGTGTGTGAGGTCAATTAAGCAGTACCATACATGTTATGTCATTCAAGCGTGTGACTCATACGACTTGAAAACGGAATTGTTTTGGCCACCGGTTTTTGGGTCGATGGTTCGACTATTCGGCTCGAACGGATGGCCCATTATGACAACAAAAATTAAAAAAAAATAAAAATGACTAAAAGCCATTGAACGGGTCAACAGTTCGACCACCTAGGTCAATGGGTCATTGACTGATTCAACAATTTTTGGTCAGGGACCGAGATTAGGATAAAATAGAACCGATTGTTTGGATGATTCCCAATTAAAAAAATAAAAAAATGGCCAAAATTCATTAAACGGGTCAATAAGTCAATGATTTGACCACTCGGATCAATGAATCATTGACTGATTCAATGATTTTTAACAAGGACCAGGTCAACGGATCCCATTCTAACCCCTGCGAAGCAAGGCCCCTCCGCTAGTTTTATATTAATCTAATACTTGTGCAAGGATTGATGGATATCTATAAGAAAGTATAAACTATTGAAGCAGTTGAATTCTTTTACGAAAATAATATCTTTTAATTCTAATATTAAATACATAAAAACAATTAATTTAAAGAAATGATTAACATAGCATCAATCTATATTACAAGCAATTCAATAACTTGGCCCATGGTGGCATGGATGGTCCATCAGTTTAACCATATGGGCCTGTGATTATGTGACATCATAAAACATAAAGTAAAAATATAAAGGAGTGGAATTTTATTTTGTTCATGAAAAGGAGTGCAATCGGATCTAGCCACATTTGAACCCACTTTATTAGGTTTAAAATAAATAAAGAGAAAAAAGTTTTAAAAAATTATTAGTTTTAATGTTATACATATATAATAAATTTATATAAATATAAAATGTTAAATTTATTAATTATAAACTTAATATATTTATATATGATATCTATATACAAGAATAATTAAATTATGTATATAAATGAAAAACAATAAATTAATGGAAAATATTAAAACACAATAAATAAAAAACAAGGATTTAATGTCTAACTTGTGACCCATTGATCAAGTCAGAAGGTTTAATTTTCAATTAGATGGATCATTGGGTCATTAGGCGCCGAATTTATTTTTAAGTTTTAGGGGCAAATACCTATATGTGTATGCTTATATAGTTAAATCTCTTTCATGCTGATTCTAATTTTTATTCTTATTCCTGTTTGAATCAAACATATTATAAAAATAGACCATTACGGTTTTAATTCAAAATAATTCAATTTCGATTCTAATTTCAATTCTGACTACATAAACAGACCCTTAATTTAAAATGTTGAGAAAATTATATATAAATTGTTATTAATTAAAGATTCTTCTGAAAGAATTTAATATATTTTATTCGAACTTGAAAAACTTTGGGCCATAGATTCCTTCATTTAATAAATCCTGTAGATCACGAGGGGCTTTGTCCAGCATTAATAGACCAAGGAAGCAAGCAAGAACATTGATACATTGATACATCTTTCCATTGATATGTCAAAATCTAATTAAATATTAAATCGTATTGTCTACAAGTTGCAAATATGTAATCTATATTCATCCACTTAATTCCCGTGCACCCAACATCGTTTTGTCTTCATGCTCTTACAAATTGTTGCTTCAAATGGGTCTCTGTCTCTCATCATGTTTCTGGCATTTTCTTCAATTCTAAAATTTGAATCGGTCATCATTTAGGGTATTCAAACTATATTATGTTTTTTTTTTTTATAAAATGGGAACCTATTACAACAATCGGAGAAAAATACAACCTATACCATCTAAACAAATAATATAATTTAAATATCTGTGAGACCAATTCTCTATTATTAATCTGATGCCTTCCATGTGGATATATACAGTTGAGATATGCTGTGGGGCACCCTCTATGGTGTGTATATGTGAATTCCTCACTATGAAATTAAGGCACATTATGAAAGTCGAGGGCTTGGATCTGCTGCTCACAACTTGTTTCCACATCTCTATCCATGACATATTATAGCTGTGTATTGAGAATATCTCTCTTATCATTCATAGAGAGATGCTCTCAATGAGTAGAGAGAGAACAATTTGTGGGTAGCAGACCTGGAATAGAAAATTGGACCCGTCATGTATAAGATGTCTGGTGTCAATTGGAAGGTGATGCATACTTTTCCTGATTAGTTAGGGTAAAGTAGTAATTTTGAATTTTTTTTTTTTTTTTTGTATTTGTACGAAGTCAATCAAGTCAACATAATTTTACAAAAAAAAAGTGGGATAAATGTTTAATTGATAATTAGTAAGAATATTCATTTATTCATCTCTCCTTCCCTCCCCTCTCTCCAACTCTCTCGCAGTCTCTCTTGTATTGCTGTGCTGTTTCTACAACTTCTCTGCGCCTTCAATTACATTGCTATCCTGTGCCGACTGCCGAGTACAAGTAAGTTGATTTTTCTCTATTATTTTTCGTCGCAGAAATCTCTATATTCGTTTCGGAATGTTGTTGTTTTCACCAGCACTAGATTCTCGAGTTTTCTCTTAACAATTTCTGAACGTCCCAGATCTTTTATAGACTAACTGCATCCTCCAAAATTTGTCTCATTTCCTTTTTCTTTCCTGTTTCTCTTGTTAACAAAGTGCGAACAGAGAGAGAGACACAGAGATTGGTTACCAGTACTTTACTCTTTCAGTATCAGAGTTTCACAATCTCAGTTTTATTACCCTTGAGTTACGACAGAGAACAGAGCTTAATTGCTATCTTTATGGTGTTTGGTCGCATCTAAAATGAAAAAAAAAAGCTAATATTTTCCAAAAAATGAGCCCTAATAATAGGAAAAAGCAATTCGTTTATTTTTCTACAAATCACTTTTCAACACGAAAACTAATACAAGTTAGATTGGTAAAGGTTTTCCTACCTTTACCTTCCTTTCCCTTTTTTTTTTTTAAAAAAAAAAACCAAAGATAGCTTAAAAGCAAATTTGATAAATGTAAGGGCGATATACTAAACGGAGAATATTTCGGCTGGATGTCCTGCTCTCTCCATGTTTCCACGATTTTACCTTTAGTAGATTTGGGGCTAGTTGATTTTAGGTTTAAATCATGGTTTTCGAATTGTAGTTGATCCAGATGGTCGAACCATTTTTGGTTCACAACTGGTTTTATTTCATGGCCAAAAGCCATTGACTTAGTCAACAATTCACTGATTCAGTTAGTTGAATTATCAACTTTTTTCACTAGTTAATGTTTTTGACCATTTTTTAATTATTATTATTATTTTTAAATTGCAATAAGCTGTCCGTTAGAACTGAACAGTGGAATCGTTGACTTAATGGCCAAAGATTCTAAGTTTAAGCTGTCATAATGAATTCAGATAAGGAATTAAAAAAGCTGTGAACCACTGATTTTTTTATTTTCGCTTCTTTTGTTATGGCTTTTGGCAAGTTGAGGTATCCAATAGATGTTTATTTTATATTTTGCCTGTGCCTATTTAACCCCTGTTAAACTGAATTTGGCCTTGGTTAGGGTAAAGCCCATTCGAGCAGCCTTTTCAACTTTACATTGTGAATATCTCCTATTTATAGGAAATATTCTCAATACAAAGTTGCAAAAAGTGATTGAAACGGTGTGGGCATGACTTTGCCCTAACGGAAATGGATCTCAGTTAAACTGTACAGACACGTTTTTGGGATCCACAACAGTTCAACTTTTCACTGAATCCCATGTAATTTTTGACTGGTATGGAGTTATGTCGTTGGTTCTACAGCCCACTATTCAGCTAATCCAAATTCTTTTTCCCTTATTATATTATCTGAAACTCCTTCACACAGCCGTTTGATCAAAGCTGAAATTGCTGAACTGAGATGGATTTCTCCAGTCATTTTTATGTAAAAGAGACCTACCTGCTTAATAATTAAAAATTTAACCCTAACCATCCATTAAACATTATTAAATAACTTGCTATGATAAAAATACCCTTGATTCATTTCTTTGCCATTTTCTTCACTTGTTTCACAACAATCAACACTTCACTTCAAACCTTTTTTTTTTTTTATTTCTTTTTGGGTAAATTACAAATACCCTTTGTATATGGGTCAGTGACAAATGCACCCTAACTTTCATTTGCTACAAAGGCCCCCCTGAACCTTTACTTTGCGACAAATACCCCCTAACTTTCATTTGTTACAAAGGCCCCCCTGAACCTTCACTTTGCAACAAATACCCCTTAACTGTTAAATCAGATGACAGAATGCATTAAATTACCAAAATTCCCACCTAAACAGTTAAATGCCTCCATTTTCTCCAAACGAAACCATTTAAAATAAGAAGAATCATTTCACTAGCATAAATGGGCACTGACTATCAAAATGGGCTTAGATCTTCTACCTGACTCATTCTAGGCCCATTTCTTCTCCTGGTCTGCTACGCTCCGGAAAACTGTATTAAGAAGCATTGTCGTTTGGTGCTTAAAAGTGTTTTGACTCTTAGATTGCTATGTGTTTGACTATGATTCCGGAAAACATTGGAAAAAAAATTGTAATCAAATCTTTCTCGTATCATTCCTTTAGGCTCAGTTTGGAAGGAGAACAGAAATACATAATCCTTGTATTTTATATGTATTTGTACTATACATTATTTGCATTTGTACTCCTTCCATACTGTGCCTCAGGCATTTCAAAATGCAAAAAATGTTCTGGGAAACATAATGGGATGCTTCTGTCTATACGATTGGTGGTACATGTCTTTACATTTCTGCACACAAGACAAAGAGTTGAGTGTAGTCTCAAGTTCTGAATTGTTGCTCCTGTTAATTTACAGGTCCAAAGAAGAGCAAAGAGGGGCAATTAATAATGGAATTGTTTCCAGAACCGTTAAGGAGATTATGGAACAAATGGGAGCTGAGGACATTGGTTCTTCTCAGCCTCTCCATTCAAATCTTCCTCATACTCTTCGGAAGCAGCAGAAAGCGTACAGTGGCTAAATTTGTTGCTGTCACTCTTTGGTTGGGCTATTTAATGGCGGATTGGACTGCAACATTAGCCCTGGGTGTCCTAGCTAACAGTCAAGGTGATGATTGTGATGGCAATTCATCCAAAGATCACCCTTCTGATCTAAACCGTGCCCTTGTWGCTTTTTGGGCACCTTTCCTTCTTCTACATCTGGGTGGACCTGACGCCATAACTGCCTTCTCTCTAGAGGATAATGAACTCTGGTTAAGACATTTGCTTGGACTTCTCTTCCAAGCTATAGTTGCAGGTTATGTCTTCATCAGATCATTCCCAGATAAAAAAGTGTGGATTCCTGCAATTCCAATGTTTATTGCTGGAATCATCAAGTACGTGGAGAGAACATGGTCTCTTATGCTTGCAAGCCGAGAAAATTTCAGAGAGTCCATGGTTACTGAACCAGATCCAGGGCCCAACTATGCCAAATTCATGGAGGAATTCACATCCAAGAAAAATGCAGGACTAAATGCAGAGATAATCTGGGAGAGAGAACCCGATATCCAGCTGCTTAATTTTCAAGATGATAATAGCCATGATAATGGTAACAAGAAGGATGTTGAGGTTGATGTGGAGCTTCTATCTGATGCCTATCGTTTCTTCAAGACATTCAAGCGTCTTATTGTAGATCTCATCCTGACATTTCATGATAGAAACGAGAGCCAATCCTACTTCCTGAAGCAAACTTGGTCCAGAGCTTACAAAGTTATTGAGGTTGAGCTTGGTTATTTGTACGATGTGCTCTACACCAAGGCAGCTGTGATCCATACTCTCCAAGGCTGCATTCTCCGCATGTTTAGTCTTTCATCCATCCTTTCTGCTTTCTTGATCTTCCCCTTCATGGAGAAACACTGGTTCTCCAAGATCGACATAGCCATCACCTACGTGTTGCTGGGAGGGGCAATTGCTCTAGAGATCTGGTCGCTCATTCGATTGCTTTTGTCAGATTGGACCATCGTTTGGATGAAGCAGCACTCCAAATCACTATCCGACTTTCTTCTCAACGCTTCTTCCATTTACAGAAAGCCTGATAGATCAAGATGGTCTAATTCAATGGCGCAGTACAACCTTATCAACTATTGCCTCAGAGAAGAAAAGCACCCAATTTTGAAAACAATCTTGAAATTCATCAAAATTGAAGACATGGTTGACAAGTATTGGTATAGAACCTACATAGAAGTCACCGATGACCTTAAAAGGTTCATCTTTGATGACCTCAATAGGAAGTTGCATTCCATTTCTTCCACATCATACAAGCATTTTAGTACTTGCAGAGGTGAATCGGCACTCGAAGAAGTAAATCAACTACCCAACTATGATAGGGTGTTTGCCAAGGAACTCAATAGGAGTATTGAGGTGGAATTCGACGAAAGCATTCTTCGTTGGCACATTGCCACTGATATTTGCTTTTACTTGGATGAGGAAAGTAGAAACAGCCATGAAGAAACTAATTCACCTTCAGCTAAAATTATCGGCAACAAGAAGAAAATGTGTAGGGAAGTATCGAATTATATGTTATATCTTTTGATATCACGTCCATTCATGTTGACTGCAGGAATTGGGCAGATCAGATTTGGTGACACATGTGCTGAGGCCAAGAAATTTCTCCACAGACATGAGAAAGTAACCAAAGAAGCTACTGCATGCAAGAAGTTGGAGGCTGTGCCCATGGAAACTAGTGTTTCGCCCATGGACGTGAAAGGGGATAGAAGCAAATCTGCGTTGTTTGATGGATGTAGGCTTGCAAAGGCATTGCAGAAGTTGGGTGAAGAGCAGAGGTGGAAGACCGTGAGTCTGGTGTGGATGGAAATGTTGTATTATGCGGCAAGCCATTGTAGAGGATATTACCACGCCCAGAGACTTAGTGCAGGCGGAGAGCTTCTCACTGTCGTGTGGCTTTTGATGGCTCATCTCGGTATAGGAGAGCATTACCGAGTAGAAGCAGGCCATGCTCGAGCTAAGTTGATTGTTGAATTGTAATTTTATATATTCCCATAAATTCCTATGGCTCTATAATGGCTGGCAATAGAAACATTTTTAAGCCTTCATTCCCTATATTTTAACCTAGGAAAGAGCATGGGTAGGTTTGGTTCGGTTTCATGGAAAAACCTGGAACTTATCATGTGAAGGTCGGTTCTAAGGTCTGTTTTGGCTTTGGCAGTTCCAGGGTCAATTCTAAGGTCTACCCATAGAACCTATTTTTTCTTTAGTCTCCCCCTTAAAAAAATGAAACATGTCCTTTGAAAAATTGATTTTCAATAATGAAATATATAGTTTAAATCTTATATTATCTTTGTTGATTAAATTGAGTAATTTAATGTACAGGTTATTATAATATTAAAATGAAAACATATTACTAAATCATTTAAGTAACTTAATGGTCAAGTGAGACCATGGCTTTTGTAATCACGAGTGCTTGGGTTCAAATATCCACATCCTTAAAAATATTTTGATGTTTATTTCAAAGCAAGTTTGGTTCCACCAAGTTCAACTAAGGCTAGTTCATTAGGTCGGTTCAAGTAAGGTAAACCCCTAGACCCTAGAACCAACTTGGGTGGGGGTCGGTTCCAAGAATTTGGAAACAAATCCTACCCTGTAACAGATTGGGTAAGGTCAGTCCAAGGCTGATTCAAGATTGGTTCCGGGCAGAACTTACCCATTTACTCACCCCTATTTTAACCTCTCCCAAAAAAAGAAAAATTCCTAATATCTTTCAAATTACTTGATTTTTCCATGCATCGGACGGGACCCTACTAGTACTATATATATAAAGCAAGGTTGTTCATTCACCATGCCTCTCCTTGCTCCCAATAAGGAAATTGCCCATTAAGCCTATAAGGAAACAACATAGGCTAAATTATCTCTAACAACCAATAGATAAAGAAAGAGGGATTTGTTTGACACCACTACCCCCCACTTTCTTCTAAATTATCTCTAATAATTTCTATTTATCTTTTAAATCATCTCTAATTCCTATTTATTATCTCCCCCACTTTTTATCTATAACTTTCTAAAGAAAGTTTAAATTTAAAAATTTAATAATTATTTAAATATTATAATAAAATTATACAATAACTTTAAAATATTTATTAAAAACACACAAAAAAATCAGTCAATCACCCTAGATTTAATAATAATCGTACTATTAATATTATATTTTTATAAAATTAATCACGAAATTATGTACTAACAATATAATTTATAATTTTATAGATTATTCAATTTAAATGTTATTCAAATAATAAAAACATTAAAAAATAAAAAAGGAATACAAACATGGAATATTAATGGGGAGAGAGAGAGAGAGAGAGAGAGAGAAATGTTTAAGAATGGTTTTATTAGAGAGTAAATATGGATTTTATGAGAGATTCAGCGGTCTACTAGGCTCCAGTAAGACTAATCTCAACCGGTCTGGATATTTTGAACACGGTTCATTGATTGTTTAGTGTAGATATATCAACACTATATATCTTGTTAATGAATTTAGTAATCAACAAAATTAACAGAAAATATAAAATTAATAGTACATATTGTTAGTTTTCAACTATAAAGTTTAATTATCAGTAAATTATTAACAGAAAATTAAACAAATCAAAGTTATTTAAATTTATTAAATAATAACTTATTAACAGTAAATAAATTTAAATTTAATAAAATAAAATTTTTGATATTAAACAATAAATCTCAAATAATTAACAATAACTTTGATATTTAAATTTATTTACATTTATTAAGTTATCTTGATATTAATTAACACTTTATCTTTTGCTAATTAATTTAGTATTACTACTATTTTACTTCAATAATTTTGTTTTAGGAAAGAAAACACTCTGCTTCTCTTGTCATGAGTACGACCTAATAATACAATAAACTTCTTTTTTTATCACTTGCACCTTGAAAATAAAACCCCACACAATGGCCTTGAGGCCCAATCTTGCAAAAAACAGAACACTTGATCTGAAATATTTCATCAAAAGAGAAAAATACAAATACACTCACTGTAACTTGCAGCCATTAGTGGCCACTTGAGGGTGTGAGAGATGTATTTTTTATCATAAAAGGGGCGTTAGTTGCAACAGTTTGAGGGCTTCCAATTTTGATCTTAGTACAGCCGTCCCTTCCTTTTCAATTCCTTTGAGAAGCTGAAGGGGGGGGAGTCTTTTTCTTATTCTCTCCTCTATTTATAAAGGATCATCCTTAGGTGACCCACCTAGAAGATTTAAATTTAAATCAGAGGAGATATGCTCGGCCAGCCATTTATTCCTTATATTTAAGTATACTGATGATTGACATGGAGTCTGATGTAGCACGATTCGGTCACTCCTATCTGGCAGGGGTTTCGTTCCTATCTGGCAACGTACAACACCTGAGAAGGAGAAGAAAATGGGGGATTCCTGGGGTGCTCACCCGGTGGGAATACTCCGATGCATAAGTTAGAACTCTCAGGGAACTGTAGAAAATGCAGAGAGAGCTAAGAGTGCAGATAGCGCAAGATCAGTTCAGAATTATTACCCTTACTCCTTGGAAATCGAGGCTTTTAAATACTGATGTCCTGTCAAATCGGGCGTAACCGCCTCTGGCCTTCTATCGTAGTCGTTATTCGCCAGGGCTGTGCAGGTAACCGTTGCAGGGTACTGCCCAATCAGATGAAAGACACAACTCGGAAAGGACAGGCACGCCACCATTTGTCGAGGGACATGGGCATAGACCGCTGGGCTGGCAGAGACTGTGCCGTTAGTCAGGAGATGTGGGTGCAGTCTGGCGGGTACGGTCTTGTCAAGTAAGAAACTTCCTGAAAACATCACATCGCTTAATAGCGAGCTGCCTTGTAGCGAACTATCCCATAGTGAGCTGCCATGTAGCGAGTTACTAGAGGCGTCCCGAGGTGATCCCGCCTGAGGTCTTCGAGTCGGCCCTCTTGCCTAAGGATCGAAGCGAGTTGATTTTCCTATCTCGCGAGTTGGGATAGACTTAGCTTGAAGTGTTCCCTTTCAGCATACCGCCGTGCTCGAGCTCGCGCTGTAGCGAGCTTGTTCCGTTGCGAGCTGTCATGTAGCGAGCTGACCCGCGAGGGCTTCAGCGAGCTCGTTGCACCGAGTAGCCAGGCTGTCACGCTGTGCTGTCACTTATGTCGGGTCATGTTCACGTGTCGCTTGGTCAAGAGGTCGGGTCAAATCACCCTCCATCAATTGCCCCCCACTCCTCAGGCTAAGGGCCTTACTCTTAGCGCGGGGAGTTCATGAAGTGACGAGAGGATTTGACCCATAATTCAAACTAGGTTGATTGACCACATTAAATACACGCGCGGATGTCAGGCAATTTCTGGACTTTTTGGGCGCCAAAAAGCGTGCCAAGCGGCTTTCAGTTTCGGAAGATGTGCAACCGACATTACTTCAGTCCCGGAAGACGTGCAGCCAGATTGATTGCGAGCCGTCGGATTCGCCTTAATTGGAGCCGTTGGCTCTCGGGCACTGTGTCTATAAATAGCAGGGCCCCAGGCCTCATTTCCATTACGCCAACTTGCCTTACCTTCGGATTTGAGGTCGCGCCTTTGCCTAGTTTGCTCAAACTCTCTCCCGTTCACATCGTCCTTCCGGTTCAGTTCTTTTTCTAGTGAGTCCTTTGTTCCATCAACCATGTTTGGGTACCCCTACGACGGTGTTTTCCCCCGGGACAGTAACCAAGACGAAGTCCCCTCAAACTCAGGGGGAGCTTGGGGCCCCCTTGAGAGTTAACCTATGGAGGCTCGAGAAGCCTTGGGGAATCTGGCTTCTATTTCCCGAGGGCGGGAACCGGACAGATTCGGCCCTTCCTCCATGACGATGGAAAGGCTTCAGGCTCTAGTCTCTTACTTCAACCTCCCTGGGGATCTTGTTTACAGTCTTCCCTCCGGTGACTATCCCTTGGAGCATGATCACGACGAAATCGTGATCTTTGAGGAGCAGCTTGTGGCTGGTCTCCGGCTCCCTCTTCATCCTCTGATAGTGGAGATTCTTTCCCACTTTAATGTTGCTATAGACCAGCTTCACCCTAACGCAATCCGAAACGTGGTTGGGAGAATTTCTTTATGTTTTGAGTACTGTCTTCCCCTTTCTCTGGACATTTTTGCTTCCATTTTGTCCATCAAGAATGCCACCCCCGGAGCTCTTCCAGAGAGGTGCTCTTACTACTTCTGCCCCCGCCCAGGCTTTACGCTCCTTCACGAGCTGCCTAACAGGATCCCAGCCTGGAAGCGGAGCTACTTCGTGGTTCGCATCCCCGAGGGGTGGCCCTTCCTGACCTACTGAAGGGGGCCATTCAGGATCTAGGCGTTGCTTTGGACCAGAAGGTTTGGGAAACGCTGCAGTCCTAGGCGGGAGTGGGCTTCCTCTGCTCGGACTACTTGACCGAGTAGAAGCTCGCACAGGCCGGTCTGATCCCCGGTAGGTTACTTTTAGGTTGTCTTTCTCTTCTCTTCCTTTTTTTTTTTCTTTTTTTTTGCGAGCTGGACTAACACTTATGGTTTTTGCAGCCATTTCGGGTGTGGACGCTCGCCGCATCCTGTTGAGCAATCAGAAGTGCAGGGTGAAGAGGTCGCTCCCTGACCAAGCATCCACTTCTAATGGCGCTGAGTTCGAGGCTGCTATGGATCCAACCTTTGTTCTGCCACCTGAAGTCCCACCTGTGCAGTTCGAGGGGGTAGCCGCGGAAGGCGGCGAAGAAGAGGTTCCACCTCCAGAGGAGTTCGCTCCGACCGCACGACCTGATCCCACTGTCTTCCCGCGGTTCCCTACTGAGGGGAGAGAAGAGAGCGTTACCAATTTTCTTGTGGCCTCGCGGAGGAGCCGGCAGGCGGTGAACAACAAGGAAGTTGCGAGCTGGTCTGGGATGCACCCTAAGCAGCTCTTCCGGTTGGCCTTGTCTCAATGCATGGTGGTAAGTGCCTTTTCCTCCTCCCTCCCGCCCCCTTTGTTTTACTCACCTCGGCTTTATTATTGGCAGCTGAACTCCACCATCCACGCCATGGCCTGCCAGACTGTTGTCCACTCCCAGGACGCCACTAACCGTAAGATTGAAGCGCAGAAGCTTCGACGCGAGCTCGACCGGGCCTAGAGCGAGGTCCTCCAGGCTCATAAGGGGAGCGAGGCCAGGAGCTCCTCATCAAGGATCAGGAAGCGCGGATCTCCCGACTGTCTGAGGAGAGCGCCCGCTACAAGGAGTCTTCGAGGGCTGCGGCGGAGAG